CAAGGGTCAGTTGGTAGAGCTCCTGCCCGGGCAACTGCCCTCGACTTATCTGATAACTACCGTCGGGCTTCCCGGGTCCACGGAGTCTTGAGGGCGGCCATATGTCTTCAACCTCCCCAACCCCAAGTTGGGATTGAACCCGGGGCCTTCGAAGTGAGCGGATCTCCTGTCCTTATCTCGCTAAAATGCCCAGCTAGGCGTGGATTTGCGATCTTGCCTCAGCCTCCCAGAATGCTGGGATTACAGGCCGGGCCACCAAGCCTGCTGGTGTCTTTCGTTTTAAACCCACAGGCCTGCATACCTTGTAGGCCCTGCCTCAGCTCCCAGAGCTCAGGTCCTCCACTTGCTTCCTGCCAGGGTCGAGCTTTTATATAAACATACTTTATAAAGTGTTTTATTTACTCGCTTATGTAACAGTTTTTGTGGAAGAACTGCTATATGCCAGGCCCAGAAGATACAATGGCAAACAGGCCCCACAGCCTAGAGTCTTATGGGGGTATAGGGGAGCACAGACATTTCCCCAGAATCAAATAGTTACAGTTGCAAAGTGAAGTTAGAAGTTCCCCTTCCTCCCTCCTTCTCTCCTTCCATTCCTCTCTTCTTTCCCTTCCTTCCTTCCTTCACTTTTTGCTTTTTGGTACCAGGGATCGAACTCGGGTCTTTGCATTTGCAAGGCAGACGCCAGAAACACTGAGCTAAATCCCTGGCCCGCTTCCTTTACTTTTTAGACCAGGTCTTGCTGTGTTGCCCAGTCTGGTCTTGAATTATCTCATCTCAGTCTCCAGAATATCCAAGGATGCTAAGGAAGCTACCAGGCCTTACTACCATACTTCTGAGTATTTGAGATGAGATCTTGACAGGTAGGACAGGAAGTGCTTTTCTGCTGAACTAAGGTGAGCATAAGATCCAGCGTCTTTTACACAGAGTCCAGGACTGAAGAGTGACAAGTTTGGGCTGAGAGACTTGAATGAGTATGGTGTGACTCAGAGAAAGCAGGGCCTTGACCATACCCTGGAGTTTTGTCCTAACCCAAGAATTTGTTAAAGGAAATTTATTAAAGGAAGTCAAAGATGTAAGCAGAAGTGAGTAAAGATCAGATTTACATTTTTAAGTTTGCCTCTGTTGGGTGTAGAGTGGATTGTGATAGACAGGCTATTGCTATGCCTCAGGCAAGAATTGTTGAAATTTGAAGAAGGGTAAGAGAAAGTATTCTTGCTGCTGGGAATTGAACCCAGGGTCTCTTGCATGTTAGTCAAGCACTTTACCCCTTAGCCCTAGAAAGGGACATTACTGAAGACATGTTGAAGAGGTAAAGTGGATTGGACTGGAAGTTTAGGGGAAAGGGGAAGATATGAAGGTTTTGGCTGCATAACTAGATAAATGATGTTATTGCCTGACTAACCAAGGGCACTGGAAGATATAATCAGTTTGGCTGGGGGTATTGAGCAGGGATCATGAGTTCAACTTTATTTACTTTGTGGTGATACAGATGGAACACAGGGCCTCATGCATGCTAGGCATGAGTTCAATTTTAAACAATGAATTCAGGGTGCCTTTGAAGATAATGTTAAGTAGGCAGCTAGAAGACTAAGAGAAGACTAAGCTGAATATATAAATACTGAAGTCGCATATTTCTAGGTGGTTATTGAAATGTGAGCAGATGACATTGCCTAAAAAAGAATATAGAGCAAAAACAGCTCCCAAGCAGAGCTAGTAGAATTACCTCTAATTAGAGCAGAGGGAAAGAGGTTAGATGCAGACACACATAGATTGTTATATTTGATTTTTGGAAAATGAGAGTATTTCCTTTGAGGTCTTTTGTATTCTTTGTTAAGTAGGAAGTAAGGTCAGTGTGGAAAGGGTGTTCTGAAGTTTTAAGAAAGCAAGACAGCTAGTGCAGTAGTGCACACCTGTAATCCCAGCACTCCAGAGACAAGGCAGGAGGATCACCAGCTAGGGCTACACAGTGAGAACCTGTCTGAAAAAGCAAACAAGCAAAAAGTGGGAAAGTTTGTTGTGCCCACTCGACCCCCACCCAGTAGCTATCATCTCAGCAAAGGGTGCAATGCAGCTCTTTGCACTACAGCTGTTGCTCCTGCCACTGCCCCTCCTCTGAACTCCTTCTGACTGAGTTTTTTTCATAAAGTGCCTAGAGTTGTTTTTTCAAAATACCAATCAGGGGCCGGGGATTTAGCTTTAGTGGTGCCACCACCAACCTCGCAAGCACAAGGTCCTGAGTTCGATTCCTGGTACCCCCCCAAAATCAGGCTGGTTGTGACACTTGCCCATAATCCCAGCTAACTGGGAGGTAGAGGCTGGAAGATCTTAAGTTAGAAAGGGGTTGTAGTTTAGTGGTAGGGTGCTTCCCTAGCATGCATGAGGCCTACGTTCCATTCTCAGCATTAAGAGAAAAGCATTTAAATTATACAGCAAGGCCTTCCCTGGTAACCCTGTCTAAAAGAGCAGTTAGTGACACCTCTTGTCCTGTTTGATTTTTGTTCTTAACTTTGACCACTAGACTATAAGTGCCATGAAAGCCGGGAGTTTATTTTGTTCTCTGGTATATGTTTTCAGTACCTGGAACGATGCCTGGTACAGGGTAGGGATTCAATAAATACCTGCTGAATGAGTGAACAAATGGATGCATTTATTATGTGTGTTTGTCCTGAAATGTTGATTCCTTGGGCGTAGCAATTCTGTGCTTTTTTTCCCGTGTCTCCACTGCCTAGTCACATGCTGTTGGCCTTATGAATGAATCATTAATGTACAAGCCACAGCCACCATTATGAGACTGTCCAGAATGATCAGCCGCACCTCCCTTTAGCCCTCTACCTACTCTTTGTTCACTTATGTCCCACCATTTCACTGAAGAAGCTCTTATGAAAGTTGATCTGGTTGTTAGGGCCAATGGTCACTGCTTCAGACTCTTCCTATTTGTGACCATGTGTCTGTCTCCTCTCTTCACTGACATAGCCCATGTTCAGGCCTCCATCGTTCCCTGCTCAGACGACACTGTTACCTAATTGGTCCTCCTGTTATGGCTTGTATCTAGATGTCTTCCCAGTGGGGCTTTTCAGAAGTGGCTGGATCTAGAGTGTGTGGGATCGAGGATGTGATGCTGGGATAGATCGTAGTGTGATGCTGGGATTGAGGCTGTCCTACCCTGGGTGTGAGCGCTCCCTGCCCACAGAGGGTCATTTTTGTCACTTGCTGCTTCTGCTGCCTTCTGCTTGCTGTGAGTTGAGAACTCTACAATGCCCCTCTGCCCTGTCACCCTACCTTGGAGCCAGCTGATTATGGTCTGAAACTTCTACAAACTGAGCTAAAATAAACCTTTCCTCCTTTAACTTTGGGGGTTGGGTATTTTGTCTTAGCATTGAGAAAAAGTAATTAAGACACCTACTTCCAGGGTGCTTTTTCTCGCCTTTCATACCATTGCCACGATGAGCTATCTTAATGAAACAAACAAAACAATTTATGAAACAATTGGAAATTTGAACATTGACTGAATATTTGATAATAAGGAATCTGTATGTGTGTATACTTTAGTAATGTTAATGGGAATGACAATTATTGTAAATATATTTTCTTTTTAATGCAGGGTAAGGGAAATGGATAGAAGTGTGGGTGGAAGCCGGGCATGGTGGCTCACGCCTGTAATCCCAGCACTCGAGAGGCTGAGGCAGGAGGATCATTGTGAGTTCAAGACCAGCCTGGGCTCAGTAGTGAGTTCCACGTCAGTCTCAACTACATAGTGAGACCCTGTCTCAAAAAACCGAAAAAAAAAAAAAAAAGTGTGGGTGGATCAGAACTGGCCATGGTGACCATGGGTTGATGGTTGTTAGAGCTAGATGATGAATGTATGGTGACCCATCACATTACTCATTTTGCTTTTATTTATATTCAGAATTATTGGGGTAAAAATTTTAAAAAGCAAAACAAAACCCAAGTGCAAGCCAGGTGTGGTGGCGCATGCCTGTAATCCCAGCAGTTGGGAGGCTGAGGCAGGAGGATCACTGAGAGTTTGAGGCCAGCTTGGGCTCCATAGTGAGTTCAAGATCAGCCTGAACTACTTAGCAAGACCCTGTCTCAAAAGAAACAAGTACAGTCACATCATTCTGTTTGAAAATCTTCACTACTTAGGTTCAAGTCCATACACTGTGACTTCAGCTGGCTTTTCTCATCTGACCTTGACACTATGCCCAGCTTCAGTTCTTGCTGTTCGTTTCTCACACTCCATTCCCAGCTATGCTGAGCTTGCAATGCCTTGAATTCCCAAGATGCCCATGTTTGCTGTCCCTTGGCTGGAGTGCCCACCCCACCCTTTTGTCTCTCCCAGTCCTTTCACCCACTCATCAGGCAGCTCCCTGCCCAGGGAAGACTCCCCTGGTTATGTACCCTCATATTGGGCTTTTACCTCATAGACTTTTCAGAATGCCAGCTCTTCTTGAAACAAGGCTTCCACAGAAGCATGTTATGTCCTTGTACTGAATTGTGATAGTCTGTTTCCCTCTTCCAGGCTCTCAGCTCCTTTTTCTGCACTGCTGGGGATCAAACCAAAGGTTTCCTGCATGTTAGGCAAGTGCTGGACCGCTGAACTACATTCCCAACTCCTTGAAGACAGCCCGCTGTACAGATACAAGTGCTTGGCCCTCAGTTGATTGTTATTACCTGGCTCTTTCCTTAATCCCAACAGTCTGGGAGGCTGAGGCAGGAGGATGACAAGTCTTACCCCAGCCCAAGCAACTTAGTGAGACCCTGATTCAAAATGAAAAATAAAAAAGGCTGGGATGTAGCTTATTGCAAAAGCCCTGGGCTCACAATCTAGCCTAGACCAGTGGTGGTGAATCTATAGTACATGTGCCACAGCCAACTGTTTGTCATTGAAAGTTCTAAGGGCCGGGGATCTAGCTCAGTGGTTCTGGCGCCTGCCTCACAAGTGCAAGGGCCTGAGTTTGATCCCTGGTACCAAAACAAAAACAAAAACAAAACTAAGAGGTTCGCCATCACTGGCCTAGACTATATAGCAAGACCCTGTCTCAATAACAACAAAAAATGGTTGTTGGATAAATTGCTATTTGTGGCAGTTTCAACACATACAGGTGAACACTATTTTTGCTTAGTGGTGTAGTGTAGGAGGCTGTGTTCCCACAGTCTTGAGGTTCAGATGATAGTTTGTGGTAGAAGTGGCTGGCAGGGTGACAGGAAGAGCTGGGAATAATCTGAATTATTTTCTCCAGATTTTGTTTCTGTACTGTGCAGGTATGTGTTGGAATTGGACGCTGTCCCCCAACCAGGAGGCTAGCATCATGTGGTTGCTAACTGCTCTCCCTTCACCTACTGATGCCTCCCAAAAAAAGACGAAACCTTCAGTCCTGCAAAGCCCAGCTGCTGTTCCACGAACAACCACTGGAGGGCCCCAAGCACCACTGTGGATCTGCTCTTCAAGGCCTCACTCACACTCGGCAGGTGCCTCACAAGCCTATAGGAGCCATGGCTTCCTGGGTAGGCCCATGGGCTTCTTTGGCTTTTACCCCATAGACTTTTCAGAATGCCGGCTCTTCTTGAACCGAAGCTTCCAAAGAATGAACAGATTTGTGGTCAGGAAAACAGTATACTCTTTTTGGTAGTGGTCAGTGGTCCTCCCTATGTATCTTCTGTGTTCAGACTAAGGCATGAGTTGGATAGCACTGGACTTGTCCCCACCAGGTTCCTCTGAAAAAGTTCATGCATGTAATCCCAGCACTTAGGAGGCTGAGGCAGGAGGATTGCCAAAAGTTGGAGGCCAGCCTAGGCTACATAGTGAGTCAGCCTAAACCACAGAGGGAGGCTCTGTCTCAAAAAAAAAAAAAGGTGATTATTCCCTAAACTTCATGTGAAAGGTATTTAGGTGGTACTCTTATTTTATTTATTTATTTATTTGGTACCAGGGATTGAACTCAGGTCCTTGTGCTTGCAAGGCAGGCAGTGGAACCACTGAGCTAAATCCCTGGACCATATTAATGGTGTTTGTTTGTTTTGGTACCAGACATCTTGAGGACCTTCCAACTTTCGAGACAGGTGGTGGCATCACTGAGCTAAATCCCTGGCCTTCAAATGTTGAAGAGATTGAACTTTGAAAAAAAAATCCACAGAAATGACAATATATTTGCTAGTTTAGGCATGGTGGCACATGCCTGTATCCCAGAATTGGGGGGGCCGAGGAAGGATTGCCTGAACTTCAAGGCTAGCATGGGCTACCCAGTGAGTTTAAGACTAGCATGAATTACACAGTGAGACCCTGTCTCAAATCAAACAAATGCCCTGGAATGGGCTGGAGATGTAGCCTAATGGTAGAAGAACTTGCCTAACATGCACTGGAGCCTGAATGCATCCCCAGCACCAAAAAAATGGATAACAGAAAAGTCCTAGGAGGGCCGGGAATGTGGCTCAGTGGTGCTACGCCTGCCTGGCAAGTGCAAGGTCCTGAGTTCAATTCCCAGTATCACACACACACACACACACACACACACACACACACACACACACAAAGTCCTAGGAAGAGAATATAGCAGCTGTATAACAGAAGTACTGTAGCAAAAGGTCCCTGATAAAGCATATGCTTAGGACATAATTTGTTCAGGATTGCTGGAAAGAACTTTATTACTGGCTTCGTGGTCGTGGAGGAAACTTAAATACTGAAATCCTGTGGATGCTGATACAGACATTTATTGAGTTCCTTGTGTGCCGTATCTATACTATTTGCTGTGTGTGTGTGTGTGTGTGTGTGTGTGTGTGTGTGTGTGTGTGGTTCTGGGGATTGAACCCAGGGCTGTTTTACTACTGAGCTATATCTCTAGCTTGTTATTTTGAGACAGGGTCTTGCTAAGTTGCCCAGGTAGGAGTAGAATTAGAACTTGCATCTTTCTGTCTCAGCCTCCTACAATTACAGGCATTGTGGATTACATGCATGTGCCACCACATACTGGCTGCTAGATGCTCTCTGCACATGCTCTCATTCCCTGTTCTTAGTGTACATTTATTATTTACTGAGGACCCTTTTTGTGCCAGGCATTCTGCTAGGTGCTGGGGAATCAATGGTGAACAAAATCTTTGCCCTTGTTAAGTTTGTTTCTTGAGACAGGGTCTCACTATGTAGTTCAGTCTGGCCTTGAACTCACTATATAGTCCAGGCTGGCCTTAAACTCACAGTGATCCTCCTGCCTCCTCTTGGGCCTCCTACCTCCTCTTGGGCCTCCTACATGCTGGGATTACAGGTGTGCGCCACTACGCCCAGCCTGTTAAATTTTAGAGTGTTGGTTTGTTTGATTTTGGTGCTGGGGCTTGAACCCAGAGACTTGAGCATGCTAAGGATGTATAGTTTAAGCTGTTACCCCACCACCTCCTGTTGTTACCTCATGAAGTTTAAAGACAGTTAAATCACAGCTATATGGTGTGATAAAGTTCAAGAGGCATTGTCCCTACTTGTACACATGAGAAAACAAAACCAGAGAGATTAACTTGGCCAAACTACCTTTTTTTTTTTTTTTTTTCGGTGCTAGGGATTGAACTCAGGACCTTGCACTTTTGAGGCAGGTTTGGCACCACTAAGCTAAATCCCCAGCCCAAAGTGCCTATCTTTTTACATAAACATTTCATTAGATGGCTATTTTTGTTTTGTGTCCATTACTATAGTGGGCATCATTTAAGGTTCTGGTTAAAAAAAGCCAGGCATGTTGGCATACACCTATAATCCCAGCACTCTAGAAGGGTCAGTCTGGAGGACTGCAAATTTGAAACTAGCCTGGGCAAATCAGAAACTTAGTGAGACCCTATCTCACAGTGAAAATGTCCTTTGTTCATTCCCTAGGACCACACACAATAAGATTCTTGTCATTGGATGTTTCCTCTCTTGGGTACTTGGTAGTTGGCTGAGTTCACTTTTTCTTTTTTAACCCTTAGGTATCACCTCAGTTTGACACAACAGTAGAAAGCTTGTTTCCAGCCCACCGGAAACATCACCAAGATCAGGCAAGACTTTCAAGTCGAAAATCAACCTGCAAATTTCCACATCTAATCTTTAAGAATCCACAGTTTTCTTCTAGACCAGAAACACCAGAAATCCCCTTAGTCAAGGAGTGCCCCAGTCAACCCAAGAAGGACATTTCCAGACAGCCCTTGGTTCCAATGCTCAGTCCCCAGACCTGTGGGGAGCTATCAGCACACGCACTCCAGAGCTCACCATGCATGTTTGTTGCCCTGGACATCCAGACCCCAGGGCCATCTGTAAGGGAAGATCCCAGTCCCCCAGAGCAGAGGGAAAACAGCCTTCCAGTCTGTGTCCACACCTGTACTCCCCACAGCCCGGAGCCTGGGCCCGTTCTGGTTAAAGACACTCCAGAGGAGAAGTATGGGATAAAAGTGACATGGAGAAGGCGAAGGCATCTATTTGCGTATCTCAGGGAGAGAGGGAAGCTGAGCAGAAGCCAGTTCCTGGTGAACAGCTGACTGAATTTCTCAGACATCCTCTTCTCCAGACCTCTCAAAATATTGCTGATTTTCCTAGAATTGCTATAGTCCCATTTCTAGTTTACAAGAGAGTATACTGCAAGAATAAAATACAGATAACACCAGTGGAAGAAAGATTTTAAGTAGAGTCCTAAGGAAATTCAGTTCCCAGATTTGCTTTTCAAGATTCCTTGTGTCACAAACATTTGCATTTAGTGTCATGAACTGTTTATATTTTTCTCTTGTTAAAAATTTTTAAATCTTATAACTTCAAAATCTATGTAAATAAATGGTTGCAGAGAGTTTTTAGAGAAACTTGCTTGTCGGCAATACATGCTAGGCAAGTGCTCTCCCACTGAACTATAACCCCAACCCATCCCACTTATTATTTATTTATTTATTTTAGGTTTTAGTTTTTCAAAACTGTCTTGCTATATAGTTCAGGCTGGCCTTGAACTCACTATTTAATCCAGGCAGGCCTCAAACTCTGTGACCCTCCTCTCTCAGCCTCCTGAGTAGAGGGATTTGTGTACCAGCATGCCCAGGTTTCCATCCCACTTCTTTTTTTTTTTTTGGTACCTGGGATCAAACTCAAGTCCTTGCACTTGTGAGGCAGGCAGCGACAACACTGAGCTAAATCCCAGGCCTGTCCATCCCACATTTTTGAGTACTAATTCCAAGGCTCAATGGCAGCCTCCACTATGACCTTATAGATGGGGGGGGGGGGAAAAATGAAAGAGTCAGGTGTAACGCATGCCCGTGATCCCAGCATTCTGGAGGCTGTTCAGGAAGAACACTGCAAATTCAACAATGCAAGTCAGGTGTAACGCATGCCCGTGATCCCAGCATTCTGGAGGCTGTTCAGGAAGAACACTGCAAATTCGAAGTTGGCCTAGGCTACATAGTTCCAGGCCAGCATGGACTTCATATTGAGACTCTGTCTCAAGAAACAGCAAAAAAATTAAAGCAAATTCTAACTTTATGGCCAACTGCTCCTATTTTAGTGAATACAGTAGGATCAGGGGACATAATGGGTACATAGTCATTTAGGCCTGCTTGTGGTTTTTTGTTTCCAGTGGAAGGCTTGTAAATATGAAGTAGGATGGGAAAATTGTTTCTTACAGTAACTTTAACTGAAAAAAATGTGGAAATTTTTCTAAGAATACTAAATGTAACTAATGTAGGACTGCCCAGTCCTTGCACTCACAAAAATAGCATCTCATTCAACCCCATTTATTCAGCACTTACCAACCTACTCTCCATCAGGTCTCAGCTAGGTCAAGCAGGGACTGTTCTGCCTCCCGCCCCCTCAAGACAGAGTCTAACCACATAGTGTAGTCTGATATTGAATTCTCTCTAGCTCAGGCTCGCCTTTAACCGCTGGGCAATCCTTCTGCCTCAGCCTCTCCAGTGCTCGAATTATAGGCATGCGCTACTTTAGGATCCAGTTTAAAAGCCCTGACCAGGGGTTGAACAAGGACTGAAGACAGGCTCTTGCCTCTAGTGGATAATGATCCCTGAACTGACAGTTGCTCCTCACTTTTATTAAGACTTGCGCAAAGGAAACGCAGGTGATTCAGGGTTCAGGGAAAATTCATCAGCTTCTCGTAATTTGAAGACTGCAAATGTGTATATTCTTTAATCAGACTTCAGTGGTAGTTGTTTCTCTCCTTGAAAATGAGTGACGCTGGCATGCTAGTGAACAGCCCGAGGTGGGAGGCAGTTTAGAATCCTTTTCCTCCAAGCCTCGAGAGTCAACTCAGGCCTCGCTCGCGTACCTGGCTTCCCACACGCCACCACACTGGCTTGTTCTATTTTTTAGATGGGAATTTGAAGCGCAGAGACTGAGCTTAGGTTCACACAGGGTGGGTGCTGACACAGCACAGTACTCTACTCTAGTTTGTGCCCACAGGAGTCCTAGAAAAATTAACTTCCGGATTCAAAATCGATGTGGAGGCTTTAACCTCGGAATGCTGTCAATTCTACAAGCAGCAGCTTTGTCAGGAAGCTCTGCAGGGACTATAATGCCATGCAGACGTTGGTAGGGGAATCCGTGGGTGTTGACATGGCTCATCGGAAAGGAGCGCGCAAGTTTAGCTAGAGATCAGCTTCTTTGGGACTGGTTTGCTTGAAGACTGTCCCGGCAGGATAGAGCAGACGGAAGGAGTCTCGACCTTATAGCATGCTGTAGGGAGTCTGGAGAGCAGGTCTGATTGACCTGAGCTCCGGCTGGGCTAGGAGGGTGCAGCAGCGCCCTGCAGCTGACTGCCCCCGCGTGGCTCCAGGGGTAGAGGCGGGTCCGTGAATCCTCACACAGAAGACTCTGGAGGTGCCCGGGTCGTCTCGGCCGGCGGCTGGAGCCTCTGGGGTGTGGCCTGTGGGGTTGGGCTCCAGCCCCACTCACCCTCAGCCGCCCACAGGAAAGGCTCTCTGGAGTAGAAGGACCAAAGCTCCGCACCGCGCCCGCGCCTCGGCGCAGGCGCTTTAACTCCCCTGGCGCCTCCGGCTCCCTGGATACCTCCCGCATCGGGCTACAGACAACAGCCAATGAGGGGAAAGTGGCGAGGACACAGACCAATAGGCTGCTGCGACAGTGCGGGGTTTGGTTGCCAGGGGCGGGGCCTGCCGCGGAGCGACAAACCAA